CAACGCATCTGCAATTGCGGATGTCTATGGGCAGCGGTCGCTTTCTATTTCGGTGGATTCAGGTGGCCGCTTGCTCGTTTGCCACCTTGTATTAAAAAAAATCGTGGGCGTGCGTATGTCGGAGATAATTAAATAACAATCGTGTAACATTATAAACACCATCATTAGCTGACCACCATCTTAATTGATATCTTCACAACACACTAATCGAATTGCAATCATTTACAAAGATCAACCAATCGATTTTATAATAACAAAACGCATCATTCCACCATTCAAAGACAACTGTCATCTGTCATTCTATCGTCGTCTTGACATCTATGATACGATGCACATTCAGCCAGTACTCAAAATTATTAGTTGCCAGCAACTTTAATCGTTCAAAAATTAACAATAGTCTCGCCCCGTTGTACACATAAACATGATGATTTTGTAATATTTGTTTTATTGAAATTTTCAACAAATATTAGCAATAAATTCCTAATGACACAAATATGTTTCATATCAGGGTTCCAACAGTTGGGAGTGTAGCTGGCGCGAACCGCCGCGACGTGCTGCCAGCGCCAAGGTTATTTAATTTTAATGAATACTGCAATTCGCCCGCGACTCCGTCGACGCGGAATTAAAAAAAAAACAAATGGCCTATAAGTTCTTACAGACTATTTAACATTTATTGCAAATTTCATCCAGATCCGTTCAGCCGTTGCGGCTACAAACTGAAAAACATCATCTAAACGCATTTATGTATAATATTAATAAGATAAAATGAATATTTAAATTGTACTTACACACATTTACATGGTCACCATAACAGTAATATTGTACCGCAGGTGTCGAGCAGCCAGTACGGCAGCGCGGAGTCCTCGCTGGAGGAGCTGGCTCTGGGTGGAGCGGACACCGCGCCCGCGGACTGCCGGCCCGCCAGGGGGCGCCACGAACACATCGCCAGGTACACTAGATGTCACAGACACTAGCTGCCGCAGACACTAGACGTCACCGGCACTAGATGCCAAAAACACTAGACGCCATAGACACTAGGTGCCGCAGCATTAGATGTCGTACACCGTTGGTGACGCAGACACTAGGTGGCACGTACACTAAATATAGACACTAGCGGCCGTATACACTAAATGTTATAGACACTAGCCGTGACACTGTTAACACTATGGTCATTAGATACCATAGACACTTCGGACACTGTACAACAGACTTAGTGCACCAAAGTTATAAAACTAGTTTCTTTTTTTTTTAATTTTCAGATATTTCCTAAACGAGGGTACATCTAAAGATCTGTCTAAATTGAGCAAAGAGATCAGACACGAGCGTGAGAGTTACCGCGAGCTGACGGGGCGGTATATAGAGAAATCGGAAGCTATACCGTTAAAAGAAACGCATTACTCGGACTTATCTAATAAAGAATCTATACTAAAGAAGGAAACGAAAAAGGACTCAAAGGCTAAGGAGATAAAGACTAAAATCAAACGATCTGATTCTGGTCGCAGTGAGTTGAAGATGAACGTGAGTGTGGGCAGCAAGGTGCTGCTGGTGGAGCCGCTGGGGGTCTACGATTGCATCAACTTGGGGAGGAGGATCGATGTGCAGTGGCCCTCGGAGGCGCAGAGGGAGAGGGGTGGGAGGAACTTCTGGGGCAGTTGGGTTCCTTTGGCGGGGATGGACGGACTGGTAAGAAAATTTA